TTTAAAAAAAAAAATTCTTTATTTCCTGTCTGTCTGTCTGTCTGTCTGTCTATCTATCTATCTATCTATCTATCTATGGTAGAGTATGAGTAGTATGTTACATCTACAGTATGGTCCTGGCTGGCTTCAAACTCAGAGATCTGCCTGCTTCTGGCTGGACCTTAGGAGTCAAGGTATACACAAGCACACCGAGCCTTAGGTGTTTTGTTTTTTTTTTAAATAATTCATCCCACTTTATCTATCTATTTATTTATTTTATGTGTGTAGGTGTTTTGCCTGCATGTATGTGTCTGTATGAGGGTGTCAGATCTTGGAGTTACAGACAGTTGTTAGCTGTCATGTGGGTGCTGGGATTTGAACTTAGGTGCTCTAGAAGAGCAGTCAGTGCTTTTAACAGCTGAGCCATCTGTCCAGTTCCCTAGTTTTATTTTTTTTAATTTTATTTACTTCTTAAGGAGGATGTCTTAGTTAGGGTTTCTATTGCTGTGATGAAACACCATGAAAAAGCAATTGGGGAGGGAAAGGAAGTCAGGACAGGAACCTGGAAGCAGGAGCTGATGCAGAGACATGAATGGGTGCTGCTTACTGGCTTGCTTCGCCTGCTTTTTTTTTCTTCCGGTTTTTCGAGACAGGGTTTCTCTGTGTAGCTTTGCTCCTTTCGTGGAACTCACTCTGTAGCCCAGGTCTCGAACTCACAGAGATCCACCCGCCTCTGCCTCCCGAGTGCTAGGATTAAAGGCGTGCGGGCCACCACCTCACCTCCCTGGCCTCAGCTTGCTTTCTTACAGAGCCCAGGACCACCTCTCCTGGGTGGCCACACCCACAATGGGCGGGGCCTTCCCACACCAGTCACTCATTAAGGAAATTCTCTACAGGCCGGCCCAGATCTTAGGCATTTTCTCGGTTGAGGCTTGTGCCTCTCCAGTGACGCTAGCTTGTGTCAAGTTGACATAAAACTAGTCAGCACAAGGAGCTGCACTGCCAACACGCTCTGAGAACCTTTGGGTTGGGGCTTCAGAGACAACCGGTTAAGCAGTGGAGAGTTGTTTCTGGACGACCTGTGTTTGACGCCTACACACGTGTGATGCCTCACATGTGCCTTCTTTAACTCCAGTTTCGGGGGAGGCACTCTCCCTCCCTTTTTATTAATAATAATAATAGCCTTTTGGTTGATTGTAATATACTCCATAATATGGAGCATAGACTGTGGTGTGTATGTTGGATATGACCTTGATTAATTGTCATTTAGTGGTAACTTAAAGTTGTAGCACTGATTTAAAAAAGTTTCTGATTCCTTAGTCATCTAGAAATAGTGATTTTATATTTGCATAAATATGTGCCATTATCATTTGGAGATGATTTGTGTTATTATTTACTGTCTGAGTCATATCTATTTAGGGCAAAGTGTTTTAACACTTTCTCTTTTCCTTTCCACTAGTAGTTCCAGAGAACTGCTGGTTTAGACTTTAGCTCTTGACGAGTTGTGAAAACAGTGAAGGATGCTTAGACTACCTAACATTCAAATTGTAAGTAAAGTTTATTTCTGTTTTTTATGTTTGGAAAACAGATTTTAGAAATAGTAACAGGGATCTTTAATGTGATGGCATTGTGGATTTTCTTCAATTTTCTTTTTTAAATTTATTTATTTATTATGTGTACACTACTATTCTGACTGCATGTACATCTGCATGCAGAAGAGGGTACCTGGTCTCATCACAGATGGTTGTGAGCCATTATGTTGGTGCTGGGAACTGAATCAGAACCTCTGGAAGAGCAGCCAGTTCTCTTAACCTCTAAGCCATCTCTCCAGCCCCTTTAATATTCTTAAGATGTAAACATTTCTTATTTAACTTTCTGTCTAAGGTGCAAAGTCCTGGAGAGATAGTCCAGTGGCTAAGAGCACTTGCTGCTCTGTCATAAGACCTGGGTTCAGTTCTTAGAACCCACATCTGGCCTCTGGCAGCCTGTACTCCAGTTCCAGGGGATCTGCCTCCCTCTTCTGGCCTCTGCATGCATTTGCACATACATGGTACTCATACACATTCTCAGGCGCACATACATGCACATTAAATCATAAACAAATATGTGTAAGATGAAGTTTCTACTTTTTTTTTTCAGGTACTTCTTTTTTTTTTTTTTTTTTTTTTTTTTAAAGTTTTTCGAGACAGGGTTTCTCTGTGTAGTTTTGGTGCCTGTCCTGGATCTCACTCTGTAGACCAGGCTGGCCTCGAACTCACAGAGATCTGCCTGGCTCTGCCTCCTGAGTGCTGGGATTAAAGGTGTACGCCACCACCACCCTGCTCAGGTACTTCATTTTATAGTAAATCTTTACAGGAATTCCTTATTATTTATTCCTATTCAGTATGAGGCAATAGCCAAAGTTAGCATGAGCATAAGATTAATGGAATAATTTATTAGAAGTATAGATTTCCAGCTGGAGAGATGACTCAGTGGTTAAAAGCACAGGCTGCTCTTTCAGAGGACCCAGGTTCAATTCTCAGCGCCTACATGGCAGCTCAGAATTGTCTATAATTCCTGTTCCAGGAGATCTGACACTCTCACACAGACATACATGCAGGCAAAACACCAATGTACACGAAGTACAAATAAAGAACAGATTTCTTTAAATCTGTTTAAATTTTCTGCATTGTTTAATTTTGACAAAAAAAATCTTGTCAGAAAGATTTATATTTTCTCTATATGGAAAACATAATACAAAATCAAATTAAAAGTAACTTAAGGGAGCCGGGCAGTGATGGTGCACGCCTTTAATCCCAGCACTCAGGAGGCAGAGCCAGGAGGATGTCTTTGAGTTCGAGGCCAGCCTGGTCTACAGAGTGAGATCTAGGACAGGCCCCAAAACTATACAGAGAAACCCTGTCTCGAAACAAACAAACAAACAAACAAAAACTTAAGGACTAAATCCAGATAAGACACATTTTGATATTCATCTCTATAAGAAGAGAGAGGGGTTGGAGAGATGGCTCAGTGGTTAAGAGCATTGGCTTCTCTTCCAAAGGACCCCGGTTCAATTCCCAGCACCCACACGGCAGCTCACAACTGTGTGTAGCTCTAGTTCCAGGGATTCTGACACCTCACACAGACATACATGCAGGCTAAACACTAATACACATAAAATAAAAATAAATACATTTTAAGAAAGGAGGAGGAGAAGGAGGAGGAGGAGGAAAAGACTTAAGAAGCCCCTCTAGGGAGATGACTCTGTCTGTAAAAGCAGAAGCTGAGTAAGCCCAACAGTCCAAGTTTAGCCTCAGTGTGTTCAGTGCTTAAAAGAGTTTAAAAAGTCTCTTAGAAAAGACTCCTTTTGGGCTGGAGAGATGGCTCAGAGGGTTAAGAGCACTGGTTGCTCTTCCAGAGGTCCTGAGTTCAATTTCCAGCACCCATACGGTGGCTCACAACTGTCTGTAATGAGATCTGGTGCCCTCTTCTGGCCTGCAGGCATACATGCAGATAGAACACTGTATACATAATATAATAAATGTCTTAAAAAATTATGTGTGTGTGAGTATGTGGTGTGGTCACAGGTGTTAGCAGGAGGGAGAGAGCATTGCATCTGCCTCCCAGTGCTGGGATCAAAGGTGTGCACCACCACTGCCCGGCTGAACTCATCACTTTTAACCAATGAGCTCTATCTCCAACCCAGATTAAAATAAAAATTTGGCCAGGCAGTGGTGGTGTACATTAATCTCAGTACTCAGGTGGCAGGGGCAGGCAGATCTCTGATCTCAGTGAGTTTGAGACAGCCTAGTCTACAGAGAGAGTTCCAGCACAGCCAGGGCTATGCAGAGAAACCTTGTCTCAAAAAAACAAAACAACAACAAAATCTATAAAAAATACTCCAGGTATAATGTTGCATCTTTATAAAAGAAAGAAGTACTAACATTGTGTATAGGTGTTTTGCCTGCATGTATATCTGAGTACCATGTGTGTGCATGATGTGGAGGCCAGAGGACACTGGATCCCCTGGAACTATAGTTGTAGATGGTTATGAACTGTCATGTGGGTGCTGGGAACTGAACCTGAGTCCTACGGAAGAACAGCCAGTTCTCTTAAGTGCTGAGAAATCTCTCCAGTCCAAGGAAGTTTTAGCATTATGTCTTCTGTAATACAATATCCATATACAATAGCTTGGTATTGTTCAATAAGTTAATGAATTTGAATATTAAATTCTTAAGTAGAGTACTGTATTTACTTCCTTCTTTTGACACAGATGTAGAAGCCTGTATCCTTTTTAATTAAACAATGTTAAACATGAAATTGCTTTCTATCTTTCCTATGTATTTTTACCAATTCCAATTCTTCCTTTTTTCAGACCCTCTGGTTAATCATCTTTAGAAGACTGGACTTCTGGATGTCTAAATTACTCCATCGCTACTGAATTAAACCATGAAAATGAAACCTATAACTGGCCATCATCTGTGAGCCCTAATCACATTGACTCATAGCATTTGAAACTTGCTCAGGGAATAAGCAATGACATCGGCTGTGGTTGACAGTGGAGGTTCTGTTCTGGAGCTTTCCAGCAATGGAGTAGACAATCGAGAGGTTAGGCATTTGATATACTTCCTCTCTGCTTTGTTATAGAAATCAATACAGGAGTTAATCTTGAAATCAATGACAGAATCAGGTATTTGAGAGTAGAAACGGACAGTGCGTAAAATTGTACATGTATTTTCATGTAATTAGTGAGAGGGTGGGAAGGGTGCTCACCTGAATGGTGCAAGATGTGTCTGTTAGGATGAATTTGGAAAGAATGATGTTACATTAGTTTAGATAAAATTGAAGTTTCTGGCCGGGCGGTAGTGACACACGCCTTTAATCCTAGCATTTGGGAGGCAAAGGCAGGTGGATCTCTGTGACTTTGAGGCCAGGCTGGTCTACAGAGAGAGTTCCAGAACACCCAGGGTGGTTACACAAAGAAACCCTGTCTGGAAAAAAGACAAAAGGAAAAAAAAATAAGTTTCTGATAATATCCACTTTCTTAGGTCATGGAGAATGAGAAATATTTGTATCTAAATACCTAAATTGCAGTCATCTTAAGTTAAGCTTATCTTTGCTTTCTGTATCATCTTTATTTCTTATTTATTCTGTTATGTGCAGTTATTTCTATAATTAGAAAATGAAGTTTTGAATTTCATGCATAGGATTTTCAGTCTTTAGTGTATTTGGTCATTTTCTTGTTACAGAAAGAAAGCACTGAAGAATACGAGGTGGGAGCAGGAAACAGATTTTCCTTCTGGTCCTGGCTCCTGTTCCCACCATTGGTTAGAGACTGAGTGTGGAAACAAAACAGAATTGTAACAGTGCCGTCGTGCAGATGTTTGGTTAGAGGCACCTTGGGAAGATGGATAGTTTTCAGTATCATGAAAGTCTCCTCTCTCTGTGAAAGATGCTGCTATCACGGCGGTTGGTGTCAGGATAATGGACAGTGCCATGCCTGATGACAGTGAGGACACACTGGTGTGTGTTCTGTGGTCTGGATTCTTTTCCCTGTCTGTAAGTCCCAGATCTGCTGTGGACAGACTTATGGGACAGTGGATTTGCTGATTCCTACATGTTCCCTTTGTATTTAAGACTGCTTCTAAAATGGATGTAGAGTCCATTAGAAGAAGTCTAGGTTAACTTCTTCCTTTAAGATCACTTTCTGAGCTGGGTGGTGGTGGTGGTGGTGGTGGTGGTGGTAGTGGTGGTAATGGTGGTGATGGTGATGCACGCCTTTAATCCCAGCATTTGGGAGACAGAGGAAGGCAGATCTCTGAGTTTGAGGCCAGCCTAGTGTGTCAAGGGAGTTCCAGGACAGCCCTGGCTGTTGCACAGGGAAACCCCGTCTCAAAAACAAAACAACAACAACAACAAAAACCTACCTCCCTAACCCCACCCCCCAAAAATTCACTTTCCATTTAACACCTTCAGGTATGAGTCACCAGAGATCCAGGTTGGACCCAGGTTGGGCAAATGCTGCTTCTCTTTCAAATACTTTTTCTGTGCTCTATAGCTTTGTAGTGTTGGTGTTTTATCATGTGAGGAGAGCTGCCATGAACAGTGTATTTACAGAGTATATTTACATTTTACTGATTAAAAAATGACAGTATGGGGAAAAAGAGGACCAAGGTCTGTTTCTGGAAGCCTTCTTTAGTTTTTCCTCATTTACATGGAATCCCAGGGATTCCTGGTCAGAACTTAGCATGGAGGAAAAATTATGAATTTATCAAGTTGTTAGTGACTGATGATTTATGTGGTATACCACTGTAGTTATATTCTATGGAAGGAGGTCAGAAGAAGCCAGTGTGCTTAGTGGATATTTGAAGTGCTGTGGTACCAGTGTGGGAACAATTTCCTGTTCAAATCCACATCTGTTCATCTGTCCTTTTAACCAATGTTAATCATCTACTTAATATGGATCAAATACTGTGTTTTTCCCCTCTGTCTTTCTTCCCCCACCTCACCCCACCCCCACAAAACAGGGTTTCTCTGTGTAACAGCTCTGGCTGTCTTGGAACTCACTTTGTAGACCAGGCTGGCTTCGAACTCACAAAGATCCTCCTGCCTCTGCCTCCTAAGGACTGGGATTAAAGGTGTGTGCCACCACCGCCTGGCCAGCGTGTGATCTTAACTACTGAGCAATTTCTCTGGTCCTGAGAGAAGATTCTTAGTGAAATGGGATTTTATAAAATTCCCTATCTATTTTTGATAAAATCTATTACTTTGTAGATGTGATATCTTTTAATCACACACACATACACCCCTACACACACCTCACATATAACTAAATAAGTGTAATCTAAAAATCTGAAAACTAAAAGCATAGTGTTCCCATGTAGATCAGTCTGGCCTTGATCTTGATATGTAGCCAAGAATAATCTTGAGCTTCTGATTCTTCTGCCTCGACTTCCTGCATGCGGAGATAACAGGCATGCACCACTGCTCGTGTGGAGCTGGGTATTGAACAGAGGGCTTACTGCTTACCTGACGACTGAGTCATGTCCGCAGCTCCAGCATCTGAGGTTTTTTATTTTATGTGTATGCATGTTTTGTCTGCATGTGTGTATATGCACTATGTACATGCAGATACCAGAAGAGGGCATCCAGTCCCCAGGACTGGAGTTACAGACAATTGTGAGCTATCATGTAGGTGCTGGGATTTGAATCAGGGTTCTTCGCAAGAGCAAACAGTGATCTTAACCGCTGAGCCAACTCTTTAGCCCCTGAGTGTTGAAAATTTAAATTAGAGCCTTTATAAGGAATATGTGTGCTATTTAGTTGGCATTCTATAGTGTTGACAGGTAAATTCTGGGGAAAAAGTGAAATCAAGTTTCCTGCAGCTGACGGTGGCCTGGCTGAGAGCAACTGTGCTTCTCCTCCCAGGTCTGCCTTCACAGATGCCATGCTGGTGGTTTGCAGTTGTTCATGGTGAAAGTAGTTACGCTTATGTGGTTAAGTCCTTTTGACAAACTGTGAGTACAACTTTCTAAGATGACATCTGCTTCTAGAGAAACAACTTAAGCGTTTTTCCATGTAGGATGTGATGGGACAGCGGAGACCAGACTGCCAGCATAAACAGACAGGCAAACAGAGCATATGGTGGCATTGTGCTCCCTGAAAGACCAGAGGGCATTTCTGAGACTGCCCTGGTTGGCTGCTTGGAGCTGGTTAACTTAGGAAAAAGGAACGGAAAGTGAGGTAGCTGTCCCCTTGAATCAAGGAAACAAATCTTGGGGAGGTTCAAATGAACCCATGAAGGATATAGTATCCAAAAGCCAAAGAAGCACCCTTCCCAAAGAAAGAGCTGCATGCCTCACTGGGGCTCCCGCTGTCTCTGGCTGGAACATTCCATGGTTTAGGCATGGCAGACTCCATGAAGCCGTGAAAGGACTGGCCAGGGAGTCACAAACTCAGTTCTTGTGCGGGGAGATGCTGGCATTGCAGTTAGCCAAGTGCAAAAGTCCTTGTTGAAAGCCCAGAGCATTCATTAAAACCCCCTTAAGAGTCATGTCTTACATAGTGGGGCCAAATTAGCTCTAGAATTAAGGATGGTTGAGGTGTACCATGAAAAGGTTTAAAAACAGGTCTTAAACTTGCTGCAGGGCCTAGCAGTGTAGTTGTCTAGCCAGTACAAGACCATGCTGGATCCCTGACATTGATCCCTGAAAAAGTCAGTCTGTACGTGACTGTTCACCATACTCAACTTTCATTCATTTGTTTGTTTGTTTGTTTTGGGGGCAGGGTCTCACTATGTAGCCCTGGCTGGCCTTTAACTCACAGAGATCTGCTTGTCTTTGCCTTCTGAGTGCTGGGATTAAACACCACCTAACTGTAGAAAGACTGTTAAGGGCAGCCTGCGGTGAAGCTCAGTCAGTACAAAATGAAGACTAGCATTGCAGACGCTTCAGTTGGAACCTTTTAAGTCAGGGCAACAGTGCCTTCAAAATGCTGAGGACCTGGGTGTGGTTCCTAGCCACCTGTGTGGTGGCTCACAAGCATCCATAACTACAGTCCCACAGAATCTAGTACCCTCTTCTGACGTCCCAGGACACCAGGCGCATACCTGGTACAAAAACATACATTCAGGCAAAACCCACATACACATAAAGTAATATATATATATATTTGGTTTTTCAAGACAGGGTTTCTCTGTGTAGCTTTGGTGCCTGTCCTGGATCTTGCTCTGTAGACCAGGCTGGCCTCGAACTCATAGACATCCTCCTGGCTCTGCTTCCTGAGTGCTGGGATTAAAACAGTAAACCACAACCACTCGGTTGTAAAAATAAATCTTTAAAAAATAATGTCAGGCGGTGGTGGCACACACTTTCAAATGAGCACTTAGGAGGCAGAGGCAGGAGGATCTCTGTGAGTTCAAGGCCAGCCTGGACTACAGAGTGAGTTCCAAGACAGCCAGGGTTACACGGAGAAACTCTGTGTGAAAGAAAAGAGGGAAAAAAGCCGAGAGGGTGAAAGTCTTAATTTTTAGTCACACATCCAGTAAAAAACAACCCGTGTTGGCTCTGTGGCTCATTGGGTCACCAAACCTGATGCTGGGGTTCAGTCCTGGGACCCACAGCGTGCAAGGAAAGAGCCAACCTCTGCAGACTGTGCTGTGACCCCTGCATCTGCACCTTGAGTACACGTACACGTACACACACACACACACACACACACACACACACACACACGAATGTCGTAATAATAAAAACTTTAAAATGAGTTTTCCCCCCAGACAAAGACTGAGAGAATTCATCACCAATATGCCTGAACTGTAAGAAATATTACAAATACATTGTTTAGGCAGAAAGTTAATTATTCCATCTGGAAACTTGGTTCTGAGTGAAGAGGCCTGGAGAAATGGTTACTGTATGGTAAATATAATTTTGTTTTTTAAAAGTAAAGCTTATTGTAAACAATATGTAACATGTTTAGGTATATAAATTATTTATTTATTTTATTTATTTATTTTTTGAGACAGGGTCTAACTGCCTATCCCTGGCTGGCCTTGAACTCACAAAGATCCACCTGCCTCTGGAGTGTTGGGATTAAAGGTGTGTGTTATT